TTTTTCAAAATGTTTAAATTTAAAATATTAAGTTAAATTAATTTATTTAACTTTAGTTAAAAATCAACTAATTAAGGAGAAGTCAAGTCAATTAAAGTTCACTCTTACAACTAATAATTTAGTCTATAGTGTTCTAAATTCATTTTACCCCATGTGTTGAACAAGGACTATATATATGCATAATAAATTCAATATACAATCCTAACATTAGGAAGCATTTTCAATCTTCTTCCTAGAAATTGTGCAAAATTAAACAAGCATTAGAGGATCATTATGCCCAAAGAAATTAAATTCCAATATTTATTTATTTATTTATTTACTTTTCCAATTTATCTGTCCTAAGAAAGGTGTTAAATAGACGAAATAGGTTGAATTTGGAAGGGTCAAAATAGATTGAGATGGTAAATAAACGATTTATTGATCAACTCAAAGATATAACAGTAATCATTGTGAAAGCCAATAACAAAAAGGGACAAAAATGATTAATAGTTGACTCCAACTTAATTCTAAACCTAAACACATATATAGAGAGAGCGAGAGAGAGAAAGAGAATTCAATTTTTTCGATTTTTATTTTTTAAAATCCGAAACAAAACCAAAAATCAAATAAAGTAATTTATTAATCCAAAACTAATTTGAAAGACCAAAAAATCAATCGAAATAAAAATTCGATTTGATTTAGTCTGGTTATTCGGTTTAACCCGAATAATCCACACCCCTACTTGAAAGTAAAAACCATAAGTAGGTTTATCTTTTTCTTTGTCTAGTTTTTATGTACTACTTATTAAATTTGAACAATAACATATTTCATATAATTTTATTTTTAAAATATTTAAAAATTAGAGAGAAAAAAGTTACTCTTTAATTAATCTCTATTTTAAATGGCGTGTATGGTAGAATAATGAATAATTGTGTGGTACGTATATGACATTCTCCTATCAGAGAAAGACAGAAGAGACGTAGCATAATAATAATAATAATAATAATAATAAGAATTTTTAAAAACTTGAATTTGATGGGATATAAACCAAACCAACTTTGTTGATAGATAACAAAATTGGATGAATAAGACAAAGTAGATTCAAGTCGAAGAAAAGGTGCTTTGTAAGTTGTAACAAAAAAAAATTGAAGGTTTTTTTTGTTGAATATGAATATTTTTATATAGGAAAAATATTTAAATATGTTATTAAAATTTTAAAAAATATTTATTTATGTAATTTGTTAAAAGTTTAGCCTTTTAATGTGAAGTTGTGGATCAATTTGGCTCGATCCGATTTTATCCGATTCAATTTATTTTTGTCATATCTAATTTATTTAACTAAATAAAATAATCCTTTTTACGTGATAAAAACTTTTCAACTTTTGCTTAAAAGGCTCCTAGCGAGTGCAGTTTTTTTCTAATAGAAGAACGAAAAAGAAAAAAAAGAGAAAGAACGTAAGAAAGGCAAAAACAATAGAGAATAAAAAAAAAGTTTGTAACATAAATCAATCTACACACTAAAAAAAAGAAAAATTTCCTTGTGATTCAAAGAGAAATTTAAAGCAATTTCTTTCAACAATAAAAATCAACATCAATTCTTTTTACTACAAGTTATAAGTTGCATATCTTATTATTTTGCCTTTTAAAACTCCTTAAAAATTATGATTAACTTATTATTTTGCCTTTTAAAACTCCTTAAAAATTATGATTCTTATGCCAGAAAGTAAATATAATTCTTTTTTCAAAAAGTAAAGTAAATGTTAAAGGAGTAAACACAATAACCACCTTCAAATGTTTGAATACTTCTTTATCTAAATAATTGAAGAAAAAAAAAAGATAATAAGTTGGAATTAGACATAGTATAAAGTTTCTAGAAGAAGTGGGCTGACTTTTTAGAATATTTTAGAATAAATATTGATGGCTACAACTATATATTATACCAATATATATATATATATATATATATATATTATAATTGAGGCTTCTAGAAGTTTGGTATCATCACATGCCCTTTCAATTTTATATCACCCCACTTTTCTCATTTTCCTTGTATTTCTCCTTTACTCTTTCCTCCTCCAAAAAAAAAATAATTAAAAAATCATATTATTTTTTCCTATATATATTCATTTTCTTGGTTTGGGGTTTTGTCCAACAATGTTTTTTTTGGTACCCTAAGAAGAAATAATGATGAATCAAGAATGTAATAGTAATAGTACTATTAGTAGTACTAGTCTTGTTGATGTCTCTTCATTTTTGCTTTTTGAATCTACGGGCGATTCTGAGTTTGATTCAAATATTTGTAGTGTGATAAATGATGATCCAATTGATTCTTTGATCACTTTAAATTCTTCTCATCAACGTTTTCTCGAAGATGATGATGCACAATCATGTAGCTATGAAGATATGGAATTGGATTTCAAAATTGACAACGACGATAATAATGATAACGATGATGATGATGATGATAATGTCGATGTGGATATTTATTCGAGATCTTTTAATCGTTGGAATAGTGATATGGAGGACGAGGATGAGGACGATGGGAGCGTAGTTGAACAAGGTTGGATGAATAATGATGTTAATAGATGTAATAATTTGAAGTTAAAAAGCAATGTTTGTAGTGTTGGTGTTGATTCTGAATTGAAGAGCCAAAAAGACAAGGATAAGCTTTTTTGGGAGACTTGTTTGGCTTCTTAATTTTAGTGAGTTTTGATTTGTTCATATTTTTATCCAATCCACAACTTCCTAGTTCTGATTATCTGTTTCTTGTTTATTTTTTCCATTTTCTTTTTTTTTTTGGTTACAAAAACTTGTATCAAAAGTGTATATAGAAATGAAAGTAGTGGAAATGCACTATCAAAGTGTTATAATAAAGTGATACATACCACTTTTATTTTATTTTTTGAAATCTTGAATTTTAGTTTTGAGATAATAAATTTGTTCTTAATAAAAAAAGTGAAATTTATTCTAGCCAGGTTTTAAAATGAGCAACCACAAGAAAAGAAAGCAAGTTGTGGACGAAAATGGAGTTCGGAGCTAAAATGATTAAAAAAATTGAGCAAAAATTATGAAAAGGTAACAAAAAATAAGGTTGAAATCAAAAGGGCAACATTTACGGAGTATGGAGTTAAAAAAGTAAAAAAAAAATTGTCAAAAATTCCAAAAGGGTGTATCAATTTTTTTTAAAATCAAAACGGTAAAATCACTCATGATGCAGAGACTTTGGCCGTCTGAAAAAGCAAAATCGATTTCTTAAATTTGCTTTTCTAAAAAAAAATAATTAAACAAATCGCTCCACATGGAGCGATTTTCAAAATTAAAAAAAAATATATTTTTTATAAGTCACTGCTTCTGCAGCGACTTCCATCAAAAATTTTTATTTTTTTAAAAAAATCATTGGCAGTGATTTTAATTTTTCTTAAAAAAAATCAAATCATTGTAAAGACAGCGATTTACACTTAATTTATATATTCTTTTTGAAAATTTAATTAAATCGCTGCAAAAAAAATTAGCTGATTAAATTAAATTTTCAAAAATAAAATAAAATTTAAGTGTAAAGAAAAAAAAAGTTTACTTATTAAAAAAATTATATTTTTTTTAATTTTGAAAATCACTCCACTTGGAGCGACTTGTTTTAAAAAAAAAATTTAAAAAGGAAATTTAAGAAATCGCTGCTACAGCAGCGATTTTACTTTTTTCAACTGATAAACTCGCTAAGCCGTAAGCGATTTTGCCGTTTTGATTAAAAAAAATTGGTATACCCTTTTGGAATTTTAAACAATTTTTTTTACCTTTTTTACTCCAAACTCAACGTTTACAAAGCAGGCTCCATGCACACAGTCACTCTTCCGTCTAAATATTGCCCTTTAATTTTTTGTTGCCCTAACTTTAAACTTGATAAATTGTTAGTCAAAACGAAAGAAAGAAAGTTGGAATGGAAATGTTTTCTTTGTTTCAATTACTCTTAAATTATAACCTATATGTCTTTTAATGTGTATTTCTTTTCTCTTTTATGTTGTCACTTTATCTTATTTAACTTATTGTCATGAAATTGTGGGGTAGAATAACGTCATGATTTTGCTAGCCACTCAATATTGAGATATTTTTTTATAATGATAAAGATGATACAATCTCGTACCAAGGACCACAAAATAAGCATATATATTACTAAACTCCTTTTTTTTTTCTTTTTTTCTTTTTTGAGGGGGGGTTCTAATGTGTAAAATTAAAATTATATTCATTGTTTTGAAGTTTTATTCAAAAAATTTACCAGTTTAGGCTTTGCTATAGACAATTATATATTGTTACAAGCTATTTCTACACAGATAATTGAAACAAAAATGTCTCACCTTGACTCTAGAGAAGTTGGACTCACTCAAAATTAGCAATTAGTTAAAAAATAAAATCACTTTTAGCAATTGCTTATAAGTTATAGATTAGCAAATTCTTTATATCAACAAGAGAACAAATATGTTTGTTCACAAGATAAAACTTTGTAATTGTAGATTTATGAAATGACTAAAATCATTGAGTTTGTTTCTTGAAGTTTTTTTTTTTTTGTTAAAATGAGGGTAGCATAAAGTTTCGTTTCAAGATAAGTTAAGTTGAAAACTAAATATATCACGATCAGTTATCTTGAAAGCAGTTATTTAGGTAGAGTATTATTTTTTAGTGACCGTTTGATTTGTTTTATCAAAAATAACAGACTATCGTATAATTTTAAAAACAAGTTCTAAAAAGTTTGAGGGACTTGGGGGTTATTTTTGTCATTTTTATTGTTTTATCTCAAGATAAGAAATTCTCATTATATATAACGATCAATTTAATGTCATCGTATTGTTACCTTTTTTTCCCCCTCATTTTCCATTTACTTATTATCTAATGCCTTAATTTTTTATAGCAATTCTATCCGGTATGACATTATGTAACGGCGAAAGGCCAGACGCAATACAATATCTGATTAGTCATCAATACAATACAATATCATATATTATGACAACAGCTGTAGAATGGGAAAACCATAGGAAAAACTTAATGGTGGTTGAATCTAAAACGCACCATGTAGAATATACAAAGATAATACTGTTACAATTAAAAAAACAATTCACATTATTCATGATTAAGAGCAAAATGGAAATGGAGCACAAATGAACTTTGCTTCCATCTAATTCCCACTAGAACAATCACCTTTCACTGTTTTAGGCTTTTAGCTGGTTATTAGTTAGTTGACCTAAATGATGTGTGGCCACTCTCTAAAACAAGTCAGTACTGTTTAATAAGAGGAAACATTATTCATGGAAAATGAAAGAACAACCCATAATCTTGTTACCAAAAGACTATGTTCTTTATGTGAAATCGTCGCCTTTTCGTTAGAGATCCTTTGCTGATGAAACAAAGGGAAACCATTCTGTGTCTAGACTAAGCATAGCAACTTTTTACATAACACAACCATTCACTGATGATATAGAGAATTCAGGACTCCTAAAAGAACCATCACCGGAATAGATTCAATCGCACCAGTTTGGATGAGACAGCCAACTAACTTCATAAAACAGCAGACTCTACCATGTTCACATCATACTTACCATATTGACATCATTTGTGCTTCTACATGCTCCAGTTAATCTGCTTGCACCTTTAACCCCATAGAAACAGAAGTTGCTCTCGAGTCTTTTGCTATTGCTAGTGCTCAAGCCTGAACTCCTGTTTTGATTATTAAGTTGATGAAGAAGGATCTCCACTAATGGTGGAGGCATTGTGTTCGCTACACAAAATTCCTTGTAGTTGTTTCCGGAAGTCATTTTTTGCATGATCGTTCTCATCCACTTGTCGTAAGAAGCTTCCTTCTATCTCACTCAATGACTCGATTTCATCTCTATCTTCACTGTTGTAACTATAATGAGGCTGTTCATCATCATCTGATGATGGCCCTGGTGATTCACATCTATTCTCCATCTCTTGTTGGGTGTCAAAATCCTTCTCAGTTTGTCTATCAGAAAAACTAGATGACATGGGTGAATATCCTCCGCCTTCTGTCTCTCCACGTTCTCTTAGTGTTTTCACAATCAAGGTCTTCAGTAAGTTCATCACTTGAACAGCATGCATGAGTGCTGTCAATGGATCAGACATCTGATACCAGAAACAAGAAATATAGTGATATGCTTCAACCAATTAGTCAAACTAGAATTTAAGATTTTCTATGCCTGAACTGCTGAAGTATATTCAGCTTACCTGTGTCATATTTGGGGCAAAAACCATAGCTATGTTTCTGGCATTCATCTTGTTTGTTTCCTCTTTCTCAACAACGTCAGCCATAAGATCAATTGCCCACTTGAGCAATGCGGTCTCAGTTGGCTTAAGCTGATTCACAAGCTCAATAAATTCCTCCTCGGTGTTGCATTGCATTACCTGTTCAGGTGAAAGCCCATCAAGCACACCTGATGGAAGTTCCCGGAACCAAGCTTTGATGAGTCCAGCCAAACAATGGACATTAATGTCGTCAGGCACAATGCCTCTGTTGAGCTGGTCCCTTACATGCTCTTCATGGCTATTCTCTGGGTTTATTCGGAAAATTCCTTCAGCCTAAAGGTTCATCAAACAATACTTAAACAACTATTTTGACATTGAATATAATTACGGGGGAGACTTCCTCATGAATCAGAAATGATAGAAAAAATGTGATACCTTTAGACCATCTTGTGAGTATAAACGTTCCTGCATTAACAAGAGAATAGTCGGGACACTGTTGCCTCTTGTATCATAAGAACACTGCATTGACTCTGGGGAGATACCAAAAACACTGACACTGCAAAAACAATTGTACAAATTTAGCATGATACAATAATGAGCTAGAAACACTGTATAAAGTCTGGAAGCAAATCACAGACAACCACTTACATCTTCTTTTTTCTTCATCATATTTTTTTTTGTTTGGATAAAGAGCCAACCACTTACATAATAAATGTGACATACAGAAGTAGAAACAGGAATTAACACACTTGCTGTTAGAAAAGTTTAAATTAAACGAAGAGCTGAAGACAGTTCAAAGAATGGAGTGAAACTGAACAACGTAGTATAGTGACAAACAGTGCAAAGAATTCAGCATCTGTATGATATGGTGGAATCATCGGCAATTCAAACAATAGCAATTACCCCACCATTCAAAAGGACCTCAAGCTTCTAACATCTTGAATCAACTATAACCAGTTCTTTTGTTTACCCTTTTTTTACTTTTAAGGGATAAATAAAGAAAGATAGAAGCTGCATACTACCATCCTCCTTGTATTGTCTTTATTTAGCATCAATGCCTTGCGATTACTTGGATAGCTAAATTCCAATAATTGCTGTCCTACCAATTTGTTTTTAGGTTGAAGCTACTAGAAGTCCTTAACCATGGACACATCTTAATTTTAAAGTACTGAGTTTAGCCCTCAGCAAAAGAGATGAAAATAGAGCACAAAGATTGCAACTTCTGCGACCAGTGAGATGAACTGGGGACAAAACTTAGTAGTTTAGATATGTTTAAAGCGTTATATCAAGATCTTCCTTGTTACCATTTTATACGGGAAACACCACAGGGATAAAACACAGAGCAGGAATAGCATCTCACCTTTGCATACTGGCATGGGAATTGCTGGGTAATGAGAGGTTATTTTGACATTTTGGTCAAGGAACTACTACTTTCATCCCTCTTGACAATTCCAGGCGGATCTAGGGATCCGCAAGGGTGTTCAGTCAAACCCCCTCGACCAAAAATCACATTGTATGTCCTAAAAGAAAATCACATTGTATATGTAAGGTAACCTTTTTTTATTATTATGTGTATATATAGATTCTGAATCCTTGAACATAAGGAGTGGAGGTTGGCTCAATGGTTTAGTGGTTTCAAAAGTCACGTTGAGGTTACGAGTTCAGATCCCAAGCACTGCAGTTTTATTTTTTTGAACCCCCTTAATGAAATTCCTAGATCCGTTGATAGAAAAACTTACTTGTAAATATATGACATTTGGGCCTAACTCAACCCCAAAATAAAAAATATGACACTAGGGCCTAACTCAACCCCACCAGCTACCTTATGAGGGGAGGATTCTCAAGTCCATATAAGCACACCACTATTCCTCCATATCCAACCAATGTGGGACTCTAACCACCTCTAACATTACTCAAATGACAATTCCGAAAAAAATTAGGTTTAGATACAGACACAACTTTAAAGAACACTTGTGGTGTAATCAACTTCAACAAGGTTATAAACTTGCTTTAACTTGGCACACGGATACTCATGTGAAATGAATAGAAAACCAAAAACCAATATGGTGGATATATCTAAGGAGTTATCTCAGGATCTTCTGTGTTACATTTTAACGGGAGATACCACAAGAATCAAACGCAGTACAGGAACATGAACCCACCTTTGCATACTGACCACAGAACTAGCTGGTAAATAAAAGGTTGCTTTGACCATTTAGTCACAGAACTACTAATTTCTTCCAAAGTTACCACTCGAGTTGCAAGTTTGGCAGATGGTAATTAACAGCAGCTATCTTGACGTACTACAATTCTATAAGAGCCACTTCTTATTGGTAACAAAACTTACTAAAAAATGATAATTCTGAGGAAGGTGATTGTAGATGCAGACAGAACCTTAGATAATCACTTATGGTGCAAACCAACTTACGCAAGGTGATTAATCATGAACATGCTCCAATTGGTTACAAGGAGACTCGCGTGACAATTACTCCCTCTGTCCAATTTATGTGGCACAGTTAAAATTTTGAGATTCAAACTTCTAAACTTTAACCGTTAATTCAGATACAGAAGCTTTACGTTTTTTGAAATAAAATTTATATATTAGAAATTTATGTCAAAATTAATATAAATCACAACAACTAACAACTTAGAAATACCTAAAAGGCATATAAAGAAATTCTAGTCAAAGAAAAACTTGGTTGACTCTTGAATTTCAATTGTGCCACCTTGATTGGGACGGAGGGAGTAATTGAAAACCAAAAAACTTGTTTTCGGTTGGTGAGGCATGAAATAAACTGGTCTATTATGATCATGTTTCCAAAAGTATAGGGGACCATTGAATAGGCATATCAAAATGCAGAACTATTAAATTACAAAGTAGGATAGTGACATAATTCCATTCTTCCTAAGCAGGCCTACAATAAAAGTATTGGCTAGTTGTGCGGTACTAGAGCATACTAATGCTATCTTCATCCTCAATTATCTTGCATTAGTATGTGTTAGTTGAATGCATAAGGGTGATCCATCTTGATAACAATTCCACGATAACAAGAAACGCAAATTAACCGTTCGATGTATTCTTGTTTTTCCCTCTGCAATTCCCAATTAACACAATAACAAAAAATCAAAATGAATTGCGTTCTCCCCTCTTCAATTCCCAATGAACAACATGTCTTGACCTAAAATCTAATAGGATTAAAGTAATACACAGTAACTCTGTTGCATTTACTGCACATATAAAAACATCACTATTTTTCAAAGTTTACATGAACTACTCCTAAACTTGTTGTATTGCACAGTCTGTTGACAGATCATCTTACTTAAAACATATTTACCCTCCGTTTCAATTTGTTTGTCCGCTATTGACTTGTGATCTAAAACATGTCACGTTGAAAATTGTAACTAAAGAGTTGTCAAAAACTGGAAGAAACATTCTTTCTAAAACGGACTACAAAGGAAAGTAATCAAACAAATCAAAACGGAGAGAGTATTTGAGAAAGTGAGCTTTACAACGAATGTCTGTCTAAAGCTCATATAAAGTAGAACCTTTACTCGTAAATTGACTGTCAGTACAAAGAGAGCCTAACTATAGCAAATCCTCTGAGCATTAGTGAAAATTCACATAATCAATCCTAATTAGTTTGGAATTTGAGTTATAGTTGATTGAAAAATAAGTATCAAACACGCTGAAAAAGTAAAAAGTCTCATCTTTATCTCAGTTTTATGCTTTTTCTTTACAATCAGATGCAAACAACATAAAAGACAAAAAGAATCATGAAACCAAAGTCGACCCAGATCAATAATTTGAAATTTAAAAGCACCCAAAAAGGCCGAAAAACACAATAGAGTAAAGATTTTTAAACAAACCTGGCACTGGGTGCTTTACAAGGGATTTCAACTTCAAACTCAACAGGAAGACCCAAAAACCCATGAAACCGATCGAAGGTAACATGAGTAAGATGCTGAACATTCGTAGGCCATCCAATTTCCATAGCATGAACTGTAGATTTCACCTCCTCTTTTCCATCAAAACGACAGTACACCATAGATTTCCTCAAAGCCGCTAACAAGAAATCCAACAAACACAACTGATGCTCCCTGTTTCTCTCTGCCTCCGTCATTATCTCCTCCGGTAATTTCTTTCGCCGGAAACAACCCCCGCCGGCGGAGCAACAAAATCCCCTTTGAGTCTCTGTTTCTTTAGGCCGTGTTTGGAAATGTTGAATTCGTTGCATTGAAGATTGTTTCGAGGTTTCTTCGGGGGTTTCAAACGGCCACTGGGTTTCAAATATTTTTTTTTTCTGACCAGAAAGCCCTTACATACAACAATAAATTTCAGTTATACCAGTTTCTTCTACAGAAATTTTGTGCTTTTCAGGTAAGGTGTTGTTTACCAATCATCGCTAATATTAATATTAATATTAGTAGTAATTAATTACAATAAATAAGAATAAAGTCCACTTTGTTCTAACTAAAACTCAACTGCTCAATTTTATCTTTATTTGGATTATGTCAACTCATCAATTAATGATTTTAATTATACATATTTATTATATGGACACTTTGAATTAACTATTCCTTCTTTCGTTAGTATTAACTACATTATTGACACAATAACAACAATAACATGTCAGTAAAATTTCACAATTAATGTTTGGAATAGTTAATTATTGACACAATAACAATAACATATCATGTCACTGAAATCTCATTTTGGGTGTTTGAAAAATGATCTATGGTGTTTGATTTGATAAAATATACGTAAATTTTATCATTATCTTGTGATGGTAATAGAGAGAACTGTTGACACACACGTAATAAATAGAATGACACTTTTTTTTAATGATCATTGACTCTGGGGCAACACAAATGATAGAAATCACCTTGCGTTCTTTGTTTCAATTGAATTTTGAATATGAGACGTTAAGATTCTCAATCACTTCATTGACCACTGAGTTACACACTTGAATACAAGTGATATTTTTTAAAATATAATAAATTTAATATTTTAAAAATTATGTAATTAATTGTTTTTTAATTTTTTGAAATATTAAGAGTGGACATATATATATATATATATATATATATATATATATATATATATATATATATATATATATATATATATATTAGTATAATAGTTGAATAACTAAACTTTACTAGACAATGCAGTCGCAGCGATACAAATTTAAGTCAGCAATTCTTGTTTTTTCTTTCGATTACTCAATTAACTCTAATTTATGGTCTGTCTTATTAATCTTTGTTAACTTTTACGAGTTATTTATTTCATCTACTTTTATTTATCATACTAAATTGTATTTTTTAAAAATTAATTTGATTAATTTTTTAAATAAAATAAAATAATATTAATTCGATAAATTTTTAAAAAATTATAAATCTAAAAACTATTTAAAAAAATTAAAATATTTTATATATTAATATAATAAAAAATATATCATATAATATTAATTAAAATTTATAAAAGTGGAAAGAGAAAGTAAATTTAAAAAAATTGTAACGTTCACGTGGGTCATAAATATACCGTTGATTGATGAGGACATTTTTTTAGGCAAATATTTATTGAAGTACTTGTATATGAGTGTCAATTTCATTACGTATTTATTTGTTTGTTTTACTTAACAAGAGTATGTTATTGCTATTTTTGAGCGCATATAAGTTAACGTAATAACTTGTGAACATAAAAAATATGATAAACTTTACAATAAATTTTAGGCATAATATATAAATATGTCTTTTAATTTGATTTTTTAAATTATATTTATGTTCTTCTTTTTTAGATGTGCAAAATAGACACTTAAACTTGGATAAAGTTGAAAAAATAGACACATAATGTATTGTGTCATGTAAGACTCGTGTGTTTATTTATTTAAAAATTGAATAATTAAAGTGTCTGTTAGTGCATTATGAAAGTTAGAGATTAAAGTTAAAATTTAAAGTTAAATTTAAAATCTAATATATGTATTATGCCTAAATTTTATTTAGAGAACTATAAAAAGAATTTAAACTTGAAATTTTTAGTTTAGAGAATAATTCCGTCATTAATAGAGTTATTTCCTTTGCAAATTAGAGGGAGTAATTCCTATAATTATATTTTATACTCAAAAGTATAGTCTATTTTGATCCCTTAAACATTTAAGAGTTGAGAAATAATACTATTGAACTTATCATTAAAAAATATTTGAATATTACTTATGATTAACTAGGTCATGCTAGAAATTTATTATCTGAAAATTGTTTTGAAAATATCCAATTGAGAATACTTTGACTTCATGAAATTAATTGATATTTTATTGGAGTACTTACATTGATATGCATAATATATTTCACTCTATAATACAGAGGCGTATAGATAGAGCTGTGAATATAAGCTAGCTCATACCATCTGAGCTAACCTATACAGGCTTTAATATTTTATGGGTCAGGTCGGACTAGTCCATTTTTAGTGTGAGTCAGAAAATGATCGGCCCAACCCACAAGTACGTGGGTTACAGGCTTGCCGGGCCAATCCACTTTTTAAAAAATTATATATATTTTATAACTATTAAATTAAATTATAAATTATAATTTTAAAATATTATCATAAATATCAACAAAAGAATATTACACGATGTTAATGTTACTACTCGTTAATCGAATCCACAAATAAAATTAGCTTTATAATATTTATTAAGTTTTTTTTTTAAGTAAAAGTATAAATATCTAAATAGAAATATTAACATAATTATTTTGAGTTTGGACTCTCTTTAATTTTAAATTTTAATATTATATTATATTTTTAAATTATTTTTTATTGACCCACGGGCCGGCCCTACCGATATTTCTCAAGGCCCACAAATCAACAGACTTATTCAGGTCGAGCTAAAAAACTCTTTTCTTATATGGGCTTCAAAAATCGTAGCTCAACCCTATAAAATATCGGGTTAGGTCAAGTCGGCCCAACAGGTCTAGCCCATATTAACGGCTCTATGTATAGATAAGCTTAGGATGAGTTGGTCAATTGATGATTTTATTCTTCTCCTTTATTAATATTTAATAATAATTTCTCTATTTTAATTTAGTTGTCGTATTTTTCTTTTCAGTATATTATGTACTTGTAAATTATTAAATAATTTCTATTAACAAAATAAAATATCATAAAAATATATTAAAATTTTGATCAACTCTCAAAATACAGAGGGAATAACATTATATTAGTTGAAAATTATGTTAAGAGAATAAGATTACTATAAATCACACTAATTATCAACTTAAAAGTAGGTTAATTCTCGAAAATTCACATGTGCAACAAAAATTGCAACAGAGGCAAAAAGTAATATATTATTTGAAAATTAAATGAATTATATAAAAACATTATAAATCACAAAAATTAACAACTTGAAATACTTTAAGAACATATTAAAATTTTGTTTGACACTCAAAGCTTTCCATGTAAATTGGGACAAAGTGAGTAAAATTATGTTAAAAGCACGGTAAATCACAATAATTAACAACTTAAAATATTTTAGAAACATATAAAAATGTGACTAACACTTTTAATTCTATCTGTGCCACAAAAATTGAGATAGACAAAAGACAAAATTGTATAAAATAACAAACTATTAATTCAAGTTAAATGTTATAACCACGTATGCATTTAATTGTAATTCTTCAAACACTTGTCATTGGCCTCTCTTCCCAAAGAATCTCGCTCGTCTCTCTCGCTTTATACAAACACAAATGTATAAATTGTGCTTGTATTTGTATAAGCGAAAGAAAACTGCATATACAAATACAAATACATACATATTCGTCCTATACATTTATAATTATATAAATACAAATCTTCCCCTATCAGTTCTCTTTTGCCTTTCGCTCTTTCTCGTTTTATACAAACACAAATTACAGTGTATAATTTGTGTTGTATAAAGTGAGAGAGAAAGAGATATTTGATATACAAATGTTTTATTTCGACTTAATTGTATATAAATTCAAATTTAATGTAGATATACAAACACAATCATTGGTATATATACATAGTAGTTACATATATACAATTATCTAATTGATATACACATACAATCGATGCGCTTTTATACAAATGAATGTCTTTTTACAATACAAATCTTAAAGCAAACATATAATTCGTTATGAAACGCAATTATACAAACTATAATTACAGTATATAAATATAATTTTTATATTTACTAAACTTAAAATTTGAGCCAATTCTTAGCTTGCACGACTCTTGTATCTAGTCTAGTATATTATATATTACATTACATCTAATAAATAAGTTAGATAAATTTATGTTTCAATTTTCAAACAGAAAATTGTTAAAAAATAAATTTGACTAAAAATTATTAAATTTGAAGGTTACTATTTCCATTCCACATGTGATGAGTTATTACTTTTTGGACCCTTAAATATTACTTAAGGAGTAACGTGAAATCGACTCTAAATTAAGTATTACTTACTAACAAAAGTTACGTGAAGCACCGAGACGTGTGCACTCATTTGACTTTCCCTTTTTTCCGCGGTATATTTAATAATTTGAGAGAGCTATTTTTTAGTTATGATAATTTAATTTTATTATTGTACTTATTAAAAATAGTTGAGTTCTTGAAAATTAAGATATAATTATTTATTTGTTTCTATTTTAATAAACGTAGAAAATTAATACAATAATCATAAAGAGAGTAGCATTTCAACTGTGCACTTCTTTCTCATAAAGTCACTCAACTTTGAATTTTAACTCAAAAGTCACTCAACTATTCACTCTTTCCTCAGAAAATCACTCAATCTATTAAATTATTTTTTAATTAAAATTTGTGAGTTGAGTGACTTTCTGAGGAAAGAGTGGATAGTTGAATGACCATCTGAGCTAAAAATTGAAAGTTGAGTGACTTTCTGAGAAAGAAGTGCATAGTTGAGTGACTTTTGAGTGAAAATTGAAACTTGAGTGACTTTCTGAGAGAGAAGTGCATAGTTGACTTTACGAGTATGTTTTAATGGACTTGTACTTTATGGCATACTTTTTGTTATTTAACTTAAACAAGTATCTAAAGTAACTTTTTTTTCTTTATCTTGCATAAACATTTGTAAATATTTACAACATTAGTTTAACATAAAAACATTTAAAATAAATCAATCTTATAGAAATTGTAACACTTAAGCCTAATATAGTAACCGACAGAAATTTATCTGAACTTCATAGATTATTGATTATCTTGTGTCTTGTCTTAAAATAAAAATACATTCAAAATAATTATTTCTTTTAATTATAATGTAGTAGAGGATAATCTTAAGACATTTTATAAGAAAATATAAAGGTAAATATGGATAAATATAGTAGAAGATAATATACTTTATAAAAAA